AATCTCAGAACTTCATACCTAGCTGTATATATCAATAAGCCCAAATTTATAATTCAGTGTAATATTCGTACTTCGTGAGGAAAAAAATTTCATGTTCGAAATTTTCATAATGAATTCGAAAACTATTGGGTTCTTATTCTAGTTGTAAAGATTTTAGTATAACTATTGCATTTCATGAGAAAAGTAATTCCATATACGAAATTTTCATAAGAAAACGGGAAATATAATTGCTTTTTCGTTCTAGCGCTTAAGATTTCAGTATAGCTAACGTATTACGTAAAGAAACCGATTCCCTATTCGAAATTTTCATAGGAAAATTCGAAAACTTTTGCTTTTCGTTTTAGTTCTTAAGGTTGCGACAGCTTTTTCGAAGAAAAACTATGGTTTAGTTAAATGGTAACGAGGAATAGTGAAGCAATGACTATTTTTTTATAGCTCAGTGACCTTTCTTAATGAAATGGATTATAATAGAAGAGTGAAGAGGATTGTAACATTTAAATTAACAAACAAGAAGGATTGACAATAAATTGGTTATAATTCATAACTTAGTTTGAAAATTATTAATGTCCGAAATACATTAAGAATTTGTCCAAACACAATAATTTTAATTATCTTACAACTTGGACGACAGTAAGTATTTATGAGCTGAAAGACACAATGATATATTATTCTTTGTTCAATTTGAAGTCTTGACAGATAATATATATAACATAATTAAATACTATCTACGAAATTTCGAAAAAGCTTATATATTCTACGACAATGAATTCCTTTCTACAAATGATTGCAATAAATTACCTCAATAAATAAAAAATGACTATTATTTCGAGTATTTGTTTTAAGCTCTTAAAGCGCATTACATTAGAATCATTTTTTAACTCCATCACATATATATCATTCCCAGTATTTTATTAAAACACAATTAAAATGAATTTAGTTTACTTAAAGGCAATAAATGCTTCAGTCAACTCCCATTTCCACATTCAACATTTCTTTTGAATGCAAAAATTCCTTGTAGTTTTTTCAAGTGCTTCACATGTGGTTCCAACGAAACAAGTTAAACCACAAAGACGAAGATGGGACGTATGCATCGAAAAACAAGAGAAGAAGAAGAAAATTCTGCACTTACCACTCCAATTTAAAGTATAAAAGTTGTTCATTTGTGTGCCAGTGTGCGCGAGTAGCAACGAAACTAAGCATAAAACGGCATTCATGTCAATAAATCCATCGAAATAATGGATCGGATAAGCGCAATATCATGTCGTGAGTCGACTGAAAAGTAGT